AGCCACGAAATTAAAAGACGCCTGCTTCTTGGGAGGAAAGCGATGACAAATCTTGACAGCATCTTAAAAAGCAGAGACCACCTTGCCAACAAAAATCCGAATAGTCAAAGCTATGGTTTTTCCTGTTGTGATGTATGGAAGTGAGAGCTGGACAATAAAGAAAGCAGACCACCGAAGAATTCATGCCTTTGAATTGTGGTGCTGGAGGAGGCTCTTGAGAATCCCCTGGACTGCAAGGAGAACAAACCTATCAATTCTAAAGGAAATCAACCCTGAGTGCTCACTGGAAGGACAGATCCTGAAGCTGAGGCTCCAGTACTTTGGCCATCTCATGAGAAGAAAAGACTCCTTGGAAAAAACCTTGATGTTAGGAAAGTGTGACAGCAAGAGGAGAAGGGGACGACAGAGGATGAGATGGCTGGAGAGTGTCTGCGAAGCAACCAACATGAATTTGACACAACTCCGGGAGGCAGTGGAAGATAGGAGGGCCTGCCGTGCTCTGGTCCATGGGGTCACGAAGAGTCGGACACGACTAAACGACGAACGACGACGAAGCTGAGATAACTGAGGAGAGAAAAAAAGGGCATATACCTAGAGTATATACCTAAAGCCACCTAGAGTGGTCTTTTAGACCAGATGGGCAGGGTATAAATCAAATCAAATCAAATCAAATCAAATCAATAAATAAATCAATCAATAAATAAATATACACCTCTGTAAACAGGCTTCCTTCTGCCACGAGGCTGAGCTTTCTATAGTTAGGAGACTTAGCTTTCTCCAATCACAAACCTTATGGAACTGACGCCAGCTGATCCTGAACAAACTAACTGGAACACACCTCCTTGGAGTTGAAGCCTGTAGGCTCAACATTCAACAGAGACAAAATGTCCGATATTCTGAGCCCAGGGGCTGAATCCTCAAAGCTAAGTTTTCTTAATTTTGGGGTCAGAAAATGGGGGGGGGTGTTGTATAAATGGTGGCATGCTATAAATGGAAAAATATGGTATCCACTAAAAATCTGAGACAACTGAAGCAAGTATGATGTCAGGACTTAACAAGATAATTGATATTCTCTCCCATGCTGAGCTTCACACTGTGAACCAATGAATATCATTTCCCTGTACATATGTAACACAGGAATGGTTTAGCACAAGTGCTGCAAACATCTCTGAATGGCATGTTCATTCTTACATGTGATGGTTTCAAAATGAATTAGGCTAATCTAAATGATAAAAAGCATATGTCATCATCTTCCTACACTAATTTTCAAAGAAAGGAGATCAGAACCATAAAACCACTAACCAGGATGAAACTCAAAAGCAATCTAGCTGCCATAGGAGAAAAGCAGGGTAAAATATTTTAAGTAATAAATAAATCTAGTTCAACTACCTACCAAAGCAGGAATCCATTACCATAACACCTGGCTGACTAGTTTGGAAAGGCATTTTAAGGTTTCTTGCTTTAAAAACTCTAACAAAAGAGATGCCACCATCTTCTAAGACAGCCTGTTTTATTGCCAAACAGCTTGTACTACCAGGAATCATGAGGACTGAGGTGTGGAAGAACATGTCTCACACTTCTCTTATCAGGAGTGTTCTGAATGGGACTCTGCTTTAGGATGTTATTAATTGTTGTTGTGGTTTAGTTGTTAAGTCGTTTCTGACTCTTCATGACCTCATGGACCAGAGCACGCCAGGCCGTCCTGTCTTCCACTGCCTCCCGGAATTTGGTCAAATTCATGTTCGTAGCTTCGGGGACACTGTCCAACCATCTCGTTCTTTGTCCTCCTCTTGCCTTCACACTTTCCTGACATCAGGGTCTTTTCCAGGGAGTCTTCTCTTCTCATGAGATGGCCAAAGTATTGGAGCCTCAGCTTCAGGATCTGTCCTTCCAGTGAGCACTTAAGGTTGATTTCCTTTAGAATGGATAGGTTTGTTCTCCTTGCAGTCCAGGGGACTCCCAAGAATCTCCTCCAGCACCACAATTCAAAAGCATCAATTCTTCGGTGGTCAGCCTTCTTTATGGCCCAGCTCTCACTTCCATACATCGCTACTGGAAAAACCATAGCTTTGACTATGCAGACCTTTGTCGGCAAGGCGATATCTCTGCTTTTTAAGATGCCGTCTAGGTTTGTCATCGCTTTCCTCCCAAGATGGTACTACTAGCACAAGCCAACTCTGGAATCCACTGATCAAACATGTTAAGGAAGATTTTTAATTGATTCATCTGTTACAATAGAGATAACTACTTGATTAATAAATGCACACAGTGGCTTTTGAATATCCTGGGGAAGATAAAAGGCTTTCTTTACCAGAAAAGCTTATTCTCAAATGCATATTACACAACTTAACTTCTCTATAGTTGATTTAGTGGATTACTATATTTTAACAGCTAGGGTTTTGGAAAGTTTGCACTGAAAGAACTGGCCTGAATTTTCTTGCCCTATGGAATTATATAAGGCCAATCATATGAAGTTTGGCATCTCTTTTTCATGTCATCTATCACGAGCCTGGTCTCCCAATTGCGCAAGTGATCACATAGCCACTGATGTGTGCATACTCCAAGGAAGCTGTATGCATAGCTGTCGTATGCACAACTTTTCTTCAACTGGATTTTGGCCATTGAATTTATGATGATCCTAGATAATACCAAAGTCATTCTATTCAAATTCACTACAACATACCTACCTTTTTACTTTATCGTAATTCTCCTGTCTGTAGTCACCTTGATGAATCATTTGTTTTGTATCAGCTAGTTCAAGTGTTAGACGCTGACATCTAACTTCCAGATCTGAGCGATTTCTTCTCTCTTCTTCATAATTCTGAAAAATGTATTTAAATTTCTTAAAAATGACTATGCCATTTCAGAAATGCTCTTGTTTGCCTTCCTGTATGAATTAAATTTTACTAGATCTATCAGTGGCCAATATTTACCTGCTATTAGTGGAGTCATGTAGCTAGTGGATAGCATGTCAGACAAGTACACAGGAAAATCAGATTCAAAGCTGAGCTCAACCACAGAAATTCACTGGGAGGGGGCATCTCACATACATTGGAAACAACTATTAGGGTGGCCATAATTCAGATGCAACTTGACAGCATATTAACAGTCGATAGAATACTAGTAACTTCTCCTACAGTGCTTTTTACAAGTGGTCATACTGCAGAAGGACTATATCTGGATATATGCTTGATGTATTCCAGAATCATGAAGCTGGACATCTGTTTGCACAAAAGAACTTTCTTCTCCACACTGCAGCCCTGCCACATCTAATCTGATCAAGAGAGGACCCTCACACACAATAAAGGAAATGCCCTGTCCTGTTGGAGGCAGTTCTGTCAATAGGATGAAATAGCTGAAAGTCACTCATTTATTTTAAAAATGGATGAATCAAATTCTAGATGGAATAACTGGGGTGGAAATCAGATTATTTTCAAAACCTCTATAATTGCTAGTTCTTTTAATATACATTGTTCCCTACATATACTGCAGGTGCTATATATCTTACACTTGAATTGTGTTAGCACTGATTGTTATTATTTCATCAGCTTAGATGTCAAGGGAAACAAGTAATTAGAGCTCCCAGGAAAAATGTTCTGACATACGCAACTAGTATCTTCACTGTCTTTACCTGTGATTGCAAGCCAAAGAGCCATGAAATTATTTCCTCACTCCAAAAGGGCCTCTGAGCTTGTACTGAACAACAACCATTCATGCTACACAATAAAACGTTATTCAGAAGCAACTTCTAAACACCTTATTAGAGTGTAGTGTTAGGATGGAATACCACTCGGCTTACCTACATTTCTGGACATGCCAAAAATAGGTATTTGGACCCCACTGCATCAACATTTTAACTCTGTTTCACCTAAAGATAACTGTAGCGGTCTAATGGCTCTTCTCACTTTCAACACTGACGATTTAAAGATCTTTCATGAAATTACTGAAAATAGTTTTCCTTTAATTTCCAATGACATATTGCATCTTTGTGGCCATTTTGCACATGAACAGTATTGTACATCCATGAGATCCATAAAAATTTGGTGTATGAATAGGATAAGTATGTAATTTTAAATATATACTGTACATATAACTACACTCAACAGGGAGACTGAGTGGATTTTTTTTTCATTTAGAGACTTACCATAACATACTATGTAAAACAGATCACAAGTCTGTATTTGTTTACATATCATTGACCATCAATCACAGAGAATGCAGTAGATAAAGACAGACCTAGATGTAACCAATATTCATGTATCCAACAATACCGTTACAAGACCATGTATCATTCATAGCATCAGGTGTTGGCACATATGCCTATCCTACAGTGCGATATACACCATGATCTGCAAATAAGCCAGTCTCAATGCAAAGAATAAATGCACACCAATCTAACATATGAAACTGCAATTTTCAAAAATTCCCACATCAACTATAATAATAACAATTCTGTGTCACCAAGTCAATTCTGAGTTATGATGACTGATTGCAAGAATTTCAGTTTACCATTCCTTTCTTCTAGGAGTGCACTGGGACTGTGTAGCTTGCCAAAGGCCACACAGGCTGGCTCTCCTGGGAAACACATTGGGGAATTACTCCTAAACTCTGGCTCTGCAGCCAGATACCTAACTCACGGAGATATCCAGCCAGCTCACATCAGTTATGAATCTGATGAATTAGGCTGCAATCAACAAAGCTTATGCCAGCATTCTTCAATCTAGCACTCTGTGGATGTACTGACTACAAATCCCATCATCATCTTCAACCAGCATAACCAGGTAGAGAGAGGCTGACCTATTGTCTATTAAATTTGCTGATCTTTAAGTGCTTGTTTGAATGAACAGTCACACCAGACCAGAGCTGGCTCAGCACAGCTTCCTTACGATGAAGAATGCACAAGCAACAAAAACGTGGAATTGGCTTTGAGAATGTGCATTGTATAGTGTTCTGCACTCTCAACTCTACTGCATGGCGTTATGGGCTTTAATACAAGGAAGAAAATAAACAACAAAAATATCTGAAATATGGATTTATTGCAGGATAATAACTTTTTTTGGATCAAGAGGCTGACAATCTAAGCAGCATTAAGGCAAATGAATAAAGACCAAGAACTATTAAAACGTGAATTTTCAGGAAGTGAGAATATTTTGATCACATAAGAAATGAATAGTACTGATTATTATAGCTGATCATTTAAGCATGAGGGGGTTGTTACTAGTACCCCAATGGGCTGTTGGCTACCATGTCAGATACCCAGGCAAGACCTTCAGAAGCAGTACCTGCTGGTACCAAGATGGACAGGAACACCTGTTCCAGAAGGGAGAGGAGACTGCTGCTAAGGAAAACACCTATGGAGTGGGGAGGAGGACGAGGGAGCCTCCCTGCAGTTGGGGACTGTAAGTGAGGCCTTGGAAGAGGCAAGAGGGGCAGCTGGAGAGGGAGGATGAAAGAAGCATGCAGGCAGGCAGGCAGGGGTGACTCACCAGGGAACAACAAGGAAGGAGCCTGAGATGACACACAGGAGGACGCGGCTAAAGCCTACAACAGAGAAAAGGTCCCAGAGCTAGAGGGGAACTGGGACCAAGCAAGGACTCCTTACTGGGGGTGGGGGTGGGGTTGTCAGACTTTATGCCCCCAAAGGGCAAGGCAGCTCCAGAGGCTCCCTAGCAGAAATAGCATCACAGGCCACAGTGTAGAGGCCCCCATTGTCAGCCAGAGCAGAGCCAATGCCAATACAGAGGCAACGCTGGAAAGAGGCAGAAAGCTTGCCAGCAGCACCTCCACCAGCAGCTGCCACTTCGTCAGTCCCACACCTTGCCCTCATTGTAGGCATTCAAACCATCCTTCTTCTGAGCACCACCTTTTGGTCCTCTGTGGAGGTCACTGTTAAAGGAGAACAGAGACTCATGGCCCATGGTAAAGTTAACATCCTTCTTCTGAGCACCACCTTTTGGTCTCACTGTTAAAGGAGAGCAGAGACTCATGGCCCACGGTAAAGTTACCTCAGGACTGGGAACTGTCCAAGACTATGCATGGGCAAGTGTCACAAACTCTGTTTACTTCAAAAGACACCCCACTACAAGATGATTTAAATATATTTCCTAAAAATGTTGATTCTGCACAAACTGATTCTACTGTGGAGAACCTACTGCCTATGTTCATTTTCCTATAGTCTTCAGTTTGCAATTTCTATACACTTTCTACATATAGTATGCACCATATGGAGATAAGTAAGAATACTCTCATCAGCATTTTTTTAAAATGTACTAATGTCAATACATATAGTATGCACCATATGGAGATAAGAATACTCTCATCAGCAATTTTTAAAAATGCACTAATGTCAGAGCACACTGTTTGCTCCTAAAGCTAAGTACAGACAATTTCCCACCTGTCTAGTAGATGAATCACTCTTCAAGCAGATGGGCTAAACCCTGAAAAACTAGTTATTTTATATTTCCCATACACTTCCTCTAAAAGATAGGTTTTGTGAATTCAAGTGACACAATACTGGCATGTCAAAACAGGTTTAACAAATGTGATCAGTTTGCAATACATGAAAAACACTTAGTTTTCTAAATGATTTTACAGGGAGAAGGGTCACAGTTTAGTGAAGAAGTTACGTGTTCAGGTGATCCTGCCTTGAACTAGGGGGCCAAACCAACCCTCACCACAAATCTTCAAAGCAATTCAGAATACTGTAGTGCTATGGGCTTTCTCCTTTCTGCAGTGGATTGGCTGCTTTGGTGTAAAAAAGTATGTTTTAATATGCAATTAGCAACTTATTCAAAGTAACCAATCTAAAAATGAGAAGCAGGGATGGTTCTTTAGATGATGGTAATTCTAGAGAGACAGGCAAAATTATTTTCTTGAAGCACCAGCTGTCCTGACTAGGGTTTCTGGGAGATGCAGTTCAAAAACATCCGAGTAACAAAGGTTAAGAACTACTGCTTTAGATGACGGTAATTCTAGAAAGGCAGGCAAAATTATTTTCTTGAAGTAGTATTTCTTCTGGACATAAGAAATACTTCCTTCTCTCAGAACTAAACCTCTACCAGTCAAGTAAAATCAGTAGCTGAAAGACCCAGTATCATGAACAGGACTAGTATTCTCTCCCAACAGCTGTGTAAATCTATTTTGTCCCCACTCCACTGTTTGCCCTGTCAGGTCAAGTGTCATGAATATAGGGCCCTATGGGGAAAGGTTAAAATATTATTTTAGATACATTAAGTGATACACTGATTAAATAAATGATAGCACCAAACCTAGCACTGAAAATATTATTTTAGATACATTAAGTGATACATTGATTAATTAAATAAATGATAACACCAAACCTAGCACTGAAACAGTCCCTACTACTTCTGCCTTCTTGGGTGACAAGAAGGAATTCTTTCCAGGCCCCATTGATCTTCTAAGGCCCAGAATGAATTTTAGACAATTCTGAGACCTGCATGGATTAACAGCAGGAGAGTCTGTTAAAATAACGAGCATTATGTAGACCAACATTTGCAGGTACCTCCTTTCCACAAATAGAAAGCATAGATCTAAAGATACTTCAGTAGTATAAGGTTGGTTATCACGAGGTATACTTAGCAAAAATCACAGTGAACATAATTAGGACACATTTCATTAGAGTTTTGGAAAGGACTAGGTTAAACTTTCAGCTTTTCCGAGAAATTAATAGCTACACAATTCCAATTTCTTGTGGACTGAAAAAAGGCATGGCACCCTCTACTTTTCCTGAGCAGCATTCTCAACTATAATTTTTTTTAATCCCAGAAAAACAAATAGCTTCAAGATTCCAGGTACAGTCCAACAACTCCTAAGTAGACACTGACATCAAGTGGTAAGAGGTAGTAAAGGCTCAAATACAGTCACTTCTGTGTCTGTTACTCGAAAGAATTTAGTCTTATTATGGGCCATGTATGAACAAAAACCAAAAGAGCAAATGGTGTTGTGACTTTTTTGCAATTCACCTAAATCAGTTTCTCTTGTTTTTAGCCACACCTTCCTTCTCTGGGAGGGGTAGGATTTATAGCATTCATATATACTTATAACTTTTCATGAGCCTCTAACCTGAAGAAGAATGTCATAAATTTAGAGCTCACACCCTGCATTTTACCTCTTTACTTCTTTCCCCCCTTCTACTAATTATTGTCATGACAATATGCTAAGGCATTATAAAGCTTTTTTTCAAAGCACAAGACAGGCTTGACAGAGACAGGCTGATAAGTGACTACATAGCTACAGACTTCCAATTTCATATTGACTGAAAAAAGGCACCCTCTACTTTTCCTGAGCTGCATTCTCCGCTGTAATCTTTTTAAAACCCAAAGCATCCCAGAAGAAAAGAATAGCAAACCAGCTCTGTATAACTAGAAAACTATGGGAAGGTTTGCTATATGTTGGAATCAAAATGACAGTATGGAATTATTAATATTATCTTTTAAAGGTAAAGGTAAAGGTTCCCCTTGACAATTTTTTTTGTCCAGTCGTGTTCGACTATAGGGGGCGGTGCTCATCCCCGTTTCCAAGCCATAGAGCCAGCGTTTTTTGTCCGAAGACATATTTTGTCCGAAGACATATTGCCAGATGACATATCCTTAGACTCTTGAGCAAGCAGAATGTTCTTCAACTGGCTAATCTGATAAATCTACTACAGTGGACCCTCGACTTACAGACGGCTCGACTTACAGACTTTTCGAGTTACAGACTTCTCTGGCTGCAAAATTTAGGTTTGACTTGCAGCCAGAGAATCGACCTACAGACCAGAAAAAAACCCAAAATGGAACAAAAATGGAGCAAAAAAGGCCGGTTACGGGATTAATCGGTTTTCAATGCATTGTAGGTTAATGGAGACTCGACCTACAGACTTTTTGACCTGCAGCCACCATTCCAATATGGATTAATTCTGTAAGTAGAGGGTCCACTGTAGCAGTAAGGCCTATCAGCAAACCTGTTTCTACCAGTTAAGATCTGCCAGTTGAAGAACAAAAAAAGTAGTGGAGAAAAGATGGAGCAACTGGCAAATAAAGTTAACCTAGAGCCATGCTCCTCCACCTGGAAACACAGCCAGCAAAAACCAGACCAAAATATATTCCAAAATAACTTCCAACATCTCAAAACTGGACGGCTTTTGCTTCAACATACCTTCAGCTATCTGAGTATCAACTCAATTGGCTCTCATCCAATTTACTTAGGTAGGATCACCCTCTATGGCTACAGTCCTAAGAATACTTACTAAGAGTAAGTCTCCATGTGATTTATTTCTCAGTTAACCTACATGAAATTATGCTGCACTAAACATACAGCTGTTTCTCAACCCATTCTTGAAGATACAGCACATATACGTACTTCAAGTATATGCTCATTCATATTTCAACAATCTCTTCATCAAATTACTAGAAGCCACATGAATTTTCAGTGACTGATTAATGCATCCCGTATGATACACTGTGGTGCAAAACTTTGGTAGCCTTTAAAGTGTCATATGATACCTTTTATTTCTGCTGCAACATACTATTTCTCTATTTGTTTTATTTCTGTTCTGTTCTGTTTATTTTGATGCAGCAGCTTTATTTATAGGAAACTATGCTAAGATGTTCTGAAGAAAGATTACACTCACATTCAATCAAGCTTCTCAATAAATGAATAAGAACTTAGTGAGCCGAAGAACAACTCTACCTTCATTGCTTTTATTACATTTTTTATTTATTGTGCTCATTAGGAAATTGAAAGCCTTAAATAGCAACTCTGTGACACCAGAACTTGGGAGAATTATAATTACATTCAGCAAGAATAACTCAAAAATCCAACTCACTTTCTGAACATGGTCTATTTACCAACAAGAATTTTTAAAAAGCCAGACTTCCCCAAGTTTGAATACCAGAAGGAACAGTTTAATTTAAATCCAGAAGCAAATGGCTATTTATTTATTTATAAAAAAATCCAACTCACTTTCTGAACATGGTCTATTTACCAACAAGAATTTTTAAAAAGCCAGACTTCCCCAAGTTTGAATACCAGAAGGAACAGTTTAATTTAAATCCAGAAGCAAATGGCTATTTATTTATTTATAAATAATAATATATAATTAATAAGTAACAATTGTCTTCTTCTGATATGTGAAAAAATAAGAGCCTCGTGGCGCAGTGGTTAAAACGCTGTACTGCAGCTAAAACTGTGCTCACGACCTGGGGTTCAAATCCCATGTAGCCGGCTCAAGGTTGACTCAGCCTTCCATCCTTCCGAGGTCGGTAAAATGAGTACCCAGCTTGCTGGGGGGGCAATGTGTAGCCTGTATAATTAAA